GCAAAATTTCATAAGAACCGTTTAGAAAGAGGATGAAATTTCACTTTAGAAAACTAACTAGTTCATTTGTGACATTGTCTAAATATCGAGGAAATGAATGCGTAATACCGAAAATCGTTACTCCACTCAGATTCAAACGGGCCGCTCGCGCAACTTCGGCCGATCGAGAGCGACTCTGATTGGTCCACGCAGCGACTGCCTCACTCATCGATGCACTGATGACCCGGAGATGCTTGTTGTTTTCGGTAAATATCTACTAGCTTGACGTCACAGAACTGACTAGTTACGGCCTCTCCATTCTCGTAGGCAACGGTCAGTCATTGCACTCATTGCGCAGCTTTTTTGAAATCTACTCCCCCGCCTGGCCCTAACTCGCAGCACTCATTATGACGTACTATTGAGTGCACCCATAAGAAATACATTGTATGCACTCAATACTACGTCACTGCGCAGTAGAGTACCAAAATTCGTCCTCGGGAATGACTGACCTGTGTGGATTGGTCTTGATGGCGACGATTCAACAACGACAAGAGAACATTCTAGAAAGAAAAGTAGTTCGGTAAAGCACCGCTAGGTAGCGCCATAGGATTGTGTTGGGATTGACTGAGAAACTTTAACAAATATTAGTTCGAAGTGAATTCTGCAATTTTTACTTAAAAGCGAACACAATTTGGTAAATTTTCCCGTTTTATTTTTTTCATTACAATAATTTGAACCGGAGTTATGATGTTTTGAAAGTAGGTCAAATTTGACCTTTGACCTATCAGAACTCGGTCAAAAATTAAGATACTGATCTGCGGTTTGCGCCAAAATTCTTAGTTTTTTATACTCTTTGGAATGAGGTATCACAAGATAGGGGTTGCTATTTGAAAGAAAAAGTTGGGGTCCGCAGCCCCTCCCCACGGGGGGGCCTGAAAATTTTGGGGGCCCCAAAGGTAGCTAACATTTATCGATGAACATCCCCAAAGTTTCGTTTCAAAATATTAATTAGGTAAAATTTTAGAGGGGGTGGAAGGGACTTTTGAGACACCCTGTGGGTAAATTTACATCGTAGTACGATAGCACCGGAGCTTTAGTTATTAAGTCTTTTCCTTTATCAAATTCTTCCTGATGAATTTTTTCCCACTTAAAATGAACCGGTTTTTTAAGCAATCAACGCAAATTTGGGATTTTTAATTGAAGATTTTTAAGGAAACTAGCATTATAATTTATCATTCCTAAAAACCATTGCAGCTGTTTTAGTGTTCTTGAAGGTTTTAATTTGTGGATT